TACATAAAGATGGGGTTGGAAAGATAGCACAGAGGATAGGGATTTGCCTTGTGTGTGGTTAACCTCGGTTGGATCCTTAGCATCCCAGTTGGTCCCCCTGAGTGGAGAGCCAAGAGTAAACCGTGAGTAATGCCAGGTATGGCCCAGAACCAAAATTTGTATGAGATGCTTTGTCTATAACTAAAGACTATTGAAGACGTAGATGCTTTGCTTTTGCGAGGTCCAGTTTTGATCCACAGATTCACCAAGAATAGCTCCTGAGCACAAGTGAGTGTGTCCCCTCCCCTTGAACACCCCACCCCAAAATTTAGAATAATTAAGGGTTCAAGGGCGTGGATGCTACTCTCTAACTTCTCTTTGTATAAACATATTGCCTGGTATATTATATCTTAAAACAGTGACCTCTACTTTTAGCCCATTTTTACTATGCACAGGACAGAGATAAAGAACAAAAGCGATAGCACAGTGGGTAGGGTGTTTGCCTTGTATGCGGCCGACCTGGGTTCGATACCCAGCATCCCATATGGTCCCCCAAGCACTGCCAAGGAGTGATTCCTGAGAGCAGAGCCAGGAGTAACCCTGTGAATTGCTGGGTGATACCCTCCCCCACAAAAAAAAAGGAACAGAAGCTTAAGGCTTTTGGTTTTTCAGAAATATTAACTTTATGGCTATAGTCTCACTGTCACTGTCCTCCCGTTGTTCATCGATTTGCTCGAGCGGGCCCAGTAACGTCTCCATCGGAGACTTTGTTGTTACTGTGTTTGGCATATCGAATACATCACCAGTAGCTTGCCAGGCTCTGCCCTGCGGGCGAGATACTCTCGGTAGCTTGCCGGGCTCTCCGAGAGGGGCGGAGGAATCGAACTCGGGTCGGCCATGTTGGCTGCGTGCAAGGCAAACACCCTACTGCTGTGCTATTGCTCCAGCCCGGCCATAGTCTATGCAAGTTTTTTTTTTTCTCTTTTGTTTGTTCTTGGGCCACAACCTGGTAGTGCTAATGGGGTTATTCATAGCTCTGCACTCAGGAACCAGTTCTAGCGGTGCTCAAGGAGCCATATGGGATACTAAGGATCGAACACAGGTCAGCCGCTTGCAAGGAAAATGCCTCCCTGCTGTACTATCACTCCAGCCCCTCTACTCAAGTATTTGAGAGTAGAGTTCTAGCCTCATGTGTGGCCTTATGTCTTTCCAGCATACCTAAATCTTAGGACATAACTTGTTTCAGTTGAGGTGTCACAACTTTAGGGATGGGGAAAAGTCAATGTAAGTGTGCAGAATATAAGAAAGTATTGTTGGTGATACTGTTATTTGCAAATGCTTTGAGCTCAGTAGTTTGCTTTGTAATGTGTACCACCTTCCCACCCTGCCTCATCTCGGTCCTGGCAGGCAGCAAACACTTTTGTTTAATTTCCAGACTTAAGAAAGGGCTCCGGGTTCGTTATCACGTAAGCAGGACTTTCCTAGACTCCTGTACTATCATGCAACCCTGATTTAAGTCTTCTATACAACCTTGCAATAATGTTTCACACCCACCACCTGAAGTTTGATCAGATTTTATAGTTTAAAGGCACAGTTATTTTCAGACATGAAATACATTTGATGTCTTCAGGCCACTTCTGCCTGCTGGTTAATTTGTGGGTTTACATTACTTCTTCAGGTTCAGTAATGACTTCAGTGCAATGACTCCACTCAGGAGCATGCTATAATTAGGACTACATTTTAGTGTTGGAAAAGAGAGGGCCAGAGAAATAGCACAATGCGGCAGAGTGCTTGCCTTGCACATGACTGACACAGATTCAAACCCTGGCTGGTTCTCGTCCCCCGACCCCCCACCCCTCCAGTCTTGCCAGGAGTGATCTTGGAGCTCAAAGTCATGAGTAAAGTCTGACTACTCACCTGGTGTGGCCTCCAAACAAACAAACAAACAAACAAAAAGGGATACAAATTGGAACCTGCCAAAGAGAGATGCAGAGGAAATGGTACTGGAGAATTCCACATTCTCTCCCAGCATAGAAAGGAGACCATGGTCCTATCACCTGCTGCACTTGCATGTAAGTAATGATGATGTACTGGGAATCCCGCCTGCCTGTGAGTTTCTGCTTGCAGGAATGGGGGGATGGCCCAGTGGCTAGGAGCATGCCTTGCAATGAGGCATGCTATTCCAGCATGCCACAAGTGTGCAATCTCCAACACAGCCACTTAGGTCTGAACGTTACAACTAAAGTGTGCCCCTGGCATGCACCTAGAGAGCACAACCAAAAGAGGGTGGAGTGGGATTGCCAACCGGATATGCTCAAGAGAGCCAAGAGAGTACTACTACAACAGCGCAGTAACAGCAAGAGGGAAGAACACACTCTCTAGAGCCTTTTCCTTCTTAAGAGGTAAAGGTTATAATTCACTCTCACCTGAATTATAGCCCCAATGATTTTTCTGATATTTGGGCCACACTCAACAGTGCTCAGGGCTTCTGCCTCTGCTTTAAAATCATCCCCAACAGGGCTCAGGGGACCATGTGATGTGCCGAGGATTGAACCCAAGTCTCCTGTGTGCAAGGCTGTACTATTGCTCTGGCTTCTGCATGGGTCTATTTTGTTTGTTTGTTTCGGTTTGTTTTGTTTTTGGGTCACACCCGGCGATGCACGGGAGTTACTCCTGGTTCATGCACTCAGGAATTACTCCTGGCATTGCTCAGGGGGCCATATTGGATGCCGGGAATCAAACCTGGGTCGGCCACGTGCAAGGCAAAAGCCCTATCCACTGTGCTATCACTCCAGCCCCATCATGCCTGTTTTTTGTTTGCTGTTTTTCTTTGGGGGAAGGTCACACCCAGCTAGGCACAGGGGTTACCCTGGCTCTGCACTCAGGAATTACTCCAGGCGGTGCTCAGGGGACCATTTGGGGTGCTGGGCGTGTAAGGCAAACGCCCTACCTGCTGTGCTATATCGCTCCAGCCCCATGCCTGTTGTTTTTAAAGGAGGTTCTCCAGGGGCTGGAGTGATAGCACAGTGGGTAGGGCATTTGCCGTGCACACGGCCGACCCAGGTTCGATTCCCAGCATCCCACATGGTCCCCTGAGCACCGCCAGGAGTGATTCCTGAGTGCAAAGCCAGGAGTAAACCCTGTGCATCGCCGGGTGTGACCCAAAGAGCCAAAAATAAATAAATAAAAAAACCCAGCTCCCAGAATAAAACAGCAGAGACTCCTGCCCCCGCGTCTGGCTGTCCTCGCTGGGGCCCCTTGGAGGGGGGCGGGTTGAGTTTCCCTCCCCACCCTGAGCAGATATCCTGCAGCCGAAGATCTCCAGAACCAGCCACAACCATGCTGAGACCAGACCCCACACGCATGAAGATACCGGCAGAGGAACAAAGGCATGTGGGTCCCGGGGTTGAGATCTCCAAGCCTGCTTGGATCGGGGCTGAGCATCCTCCACCCAGACCCTCCATCTTCCAGTAGTCAGGGGTCACACCCACTAACCTCCCTGGGCGCCATGTAATCCCATCAATGGCCAAGACCCAGAGACTATAAAACCCAGCTCCCAGAAGTGTGCTGCTGCATTCGCGGCTGCGGGACATCTTATTATCTCATTCCTACTTTGGACAACCTGGCAGGCTACCGAATGTAACCTGCCCACACAGCAGAGTCTGGCAAACTCCCCGTGGCGTACCCAATATGCCAAACACCAGTAACAATGATGGGTCTCATTCTCCTAACCCTGAAATAGCCTTGAATATGGCACTTTTTAAAATCTCAGGGCTAGGACGAAGGAGATGTTACTGGGGTCTGCTCGAGGCCATCGACGAACAACAGGATGATTGTGATCGTGAAATAAATAAATAAAAATAAAGGATTCTCCATTTAGTTTTTTCTGCTCCTTGAGATCAGAGTGGGTAGGGCCTGCACACTCTGCACATCTTGCACACAGCCAACCTGCGTTCAATCCTTGACATTCCATACTCCTGAGTACAGTCAGGAGTAATTCCTGAGCTCAGAGTCAGACGTTAACCCTGAGCATTGCTGGGTGTGACCCTCAAACAAAACAAAAATCATAATTTTCTCCTCTCCTGATATGACTATATTGTAGCATCCTAATTTTTTTTTTTTTTTTTTTTTTTTTTTGCTTTGGGAACACTTCTATTGGTGCTCCAACCCACTCCCGCTTTGGGGGGTGGGAGGAGCAAGGGTCACTCCTGGTGGTGCCATAGGTCTGGCTGGAACAACAGGGCTCAGGTAGGGTGCTTGCCTTGGACTCAGCTGACCTAGATTTGATCTGCCCTCCAGAAATGTAGAACCAGGAGTAAGCCCTGAACACTGCCACGTGTGTGGCCGAAAAAACCAAAAATATGCGGGGATCCACCAGACCTCCTGCGAGCAAAGTATGCGCTCAGCCCATTGAACTATCTCTTTGGCCCCTGCAACATTCTTTTTTGTTGTTCATTTTTTTGGGTCACACCCGGCGTTGCACAGGAGCTACTCCTGGCGGTTCTCAGAGGACCACATGGGGATGCTGGGAATCGAACCCAGGTCGGCCGCGTGCAAGGCAACCACCCGACCCGCTGTGCTAGCGGTCCGCCCCAACATCCTTTTTCAATCGAATCACTTGAGTGTAATGCTGTTGCACAAACGGCTGAGCCGGCACTTTGAAAACTCATGAAATTCAGTGTCCCAGCTCCCCGGTGCACTAGGAGAGTCCGTTGAAACATTCCTGAACACCTTGCACCCCTGACACGAGCAACGCTGTCAGCTAAAAACCTAGACTTTGTGCGCGACGGACACCCACCCCCTCGGCTTTTAATTGTCACTTAGAAAACCTGGACCCCCTCCCCCCACGGGAACGCCGGCGTCAGAGTAGGACGGCATTAGCAATGGGGGTGGGATGGGAGAGACGTCAGGCTGGTAAGGGGGGGTGCGGGAAAAGGAGGGGACCCTTGCGCAGGCGCAGAAGCGGTGCGACCGCGCCCGTTCAGGCACTGCCGCGGACGCCCCTGGGGGCCTCAGACGCTTAGGGCCGGAAGTGGCGTGAGCTCGGCCTTTCCGCGTCCCTCGCGGTGGGCGTCGGGTCTGGGCGGCTCCGTCCGCTCTGCGGGTTCGCGGCCAAGAGCGTCTGAGCGGGTCGGCGGCCGCCACAAGCCCACTCCGGGATCGGAAGATGGTCGGCCGGAACAGCGCCATCGCCGCCGGCGTCTGCGGGGCCCTTTTCATCGGCTACTGCATTTACTTCGACCGCAAGAGACGGAGTGACCCCAACTTCAAGAACCGACTGCGAGAACGTGAGTGCGCGCCCGCGCCGGGGTGGGGGTGGCTGGCCTGGCGGCGCGGGAGCACGCGTGCCCCAGGCTCCCCTCCATCTTGGAAGACCGGGCTTTTTTTTTTCCCCCCCATTTTTTTGTTTCTTCCCCCTCTGGGTGCCGTTGCAAATTGCACTCTCGGCTCGTCGTTAGACTGAGATGGGGCAGTAGCTGCGTCCCTGCCCCGGGAGAGCGGCTGGGCGCTGCCCTGTAACTTCGTGCTCGTAATTCGAGAGCCGTTCCCGGGGGCTGGCGCGATAGCACAGCGAGGAGGGCGTTTGCCTTGCATGCGGGCGACCCGGGTTCGATTCCCAGCATCCCAGATGGTCCCCCGAGGAGTTATTAACCGCCAGGAGTTAATTCCTGCGTGCATGAGCCAGGAGTAACTCCTGTGCATCGTCGGGTGTGACCCCAAGAGAGAAAAAAAAGGAAAGAAAAGAAAGTCGTGCCTTGCCCAAGTGCGCCAAAGCCAGCGTGTCGCGCATTCTTAAACCCTCCTGGGGGCGGAGCTCCCATCGCCTCCAGGATATGAGTGAATGCGATAGAAACTGCAGGGGAGTCCAAAGGGCTTGCGCCCCTCCTGTGGCGCGGCCTTATTTCATACCTGCGACATCAGCATTTTTTTTTTTTTAAGTTTGCAAGTGGGGAAGTCGTGGTCACCAGAACCCTTCTGGCATTTGGGATTTGGGGAGCACACGCGCTCGCCCACCATTACAGCGATTTGACTGCTGGGATAGTTTTCGCAGCTTTTGCTGGCTCGGTGAAAAGTTCCCGGCGGGACAGTCCAGGAAGCGAGGGTCCTGTGACCGCCGAAGGTCTGGAAGTAGTTGAGGGGTGGGGTGGCCACGTGCGCGGATCGCGCCCGCCACCTCCGATGCCGCGTCCGAGCGCCCGCCTGTGTGCGGAGCAAAGCCGAGCTGTGTAAAAATGCACAACCGAAGGTACGGTTGATTCGTGGAAAGAATAGTTTTTGGATTCAGGTCGGCAGTCTCCACGCGAGTATTTTTTTCTTTTTCCCAAACTGTGCAGTGTAAAAAGCCACGTGCCTCGGATTGGTTTTGCGAAGGGACTTTGGAGCCCTCCATCTCTATTCCTGAGACACGACGGGCTCCATAAATGCTTCCCATTGAAATTGGGTAATCCTGCAGTTTTCATAAAATAGTTGCGGGTGGTCTTGCAGATGTATAGCCCTGTTAAAAAAGAGGGTAACCCTGGGACTGGAGCAATAGCACAGTGGATAGGGCTTTTGTTTTGCACGCGGTCCGACCCAGGTTCAATTCCCAGCATCCCATATGGTTCCCTGAGCACCGCCAGGACCGGGAGTAATTCCTGAGTGCAGATCCAGGAGTAACCCCTGTGCATTGTCGGGCAATATATGTGTGTGTGTAAATATATATATATAGGTAAAAGGTAAAGGTAAAGGCCCTCCCGTTGATCATTGATTTGCTCGAGCGGGCCCAGTAACATCTCCATTGGAGACTTTGTTGTTACTGTGTTTGGCATATCGAATACTCTCGGTAGCTTGCCAGGCTCTTCGAGAGGGGCGGAGGAATCGAACTCGGGTCGGCCATGTTGGCCGCTTGTAAGGCGAACGCCCTACCGCTGTGCTATATATATATAATAATATATATATAATAACCGTAGACTGGGGAGGTGGGGTTCATCCTTTTAATCACGTATATTGGCTTGTGCTTGGGACCCCCGAGGCTGTGTTGGGTTAGGCAGAGAACTGGACAGGGGAGAAACACTGCAGCCCTATTGTTGAAAACATAAGGAAGGGAATGTTTGTCCGGAGGTCGTAAAGCCTGATTATCTGATACTTTAACAAATAAGACTTTAAAAATGGGGAACTGGGAGGATAGAACCGTGGGTAAGGGTGCAAGGGCGAACGGTGCATGCTCTGTAGGTTCGATAACTGGGCCTAGGTACAGGCCAAGGATCACAGGAGTGGCACCAGGACCCCAAGCACCCCCCCCCCCCACACACACACACCCTTATTCAGAATGATTTATCAGTCCATTTAAAGGTAATCTTGGGGGTTGGGTCAATAGCACAGCGGCTTGTGCGCTTGCCGTGCACACAGCGATCCCTGGCATCCCATATGGTCTCCCCAGCACTGCCTGGTATGACCCAAAAAGCAAAAAATAAATAAAAATAAAGGTAATTTGGTAAAAGTGTGCAGCGTGCATGCCTTTCAAACGACCTACTTGGTTTCCATACCCCGCCCGACACACCATGTTGTCCCCAGAGCCTGCCAGGAATGATCCATGAGTACACTGCCAGGAGTAAACCCTGAACATACTGGGTGTGGGCTCCCCTCCCCCAAAATAAAAAAAAACCAGAAATAATGATACTAATCGTGTTATTAGCTGGTTTTGAGAACTTAAGAGTTCAGTGGGGGCTGGAGCAATAATACAGTGGGTAGGGCTTTTACCTTGCACGTGGCCGACTTGGGTTCGATTCCCAGCACCTCCTATGGTCCCCTGAGCACTAACAGAAGTAATTCTGAGTGCAAAGCCAGGAGTAACTGCTGTGCATTGCCGGGTGTGACCCAAAAAGAAAAAAAAAAGTTCAGTGGGAGAAATAGTACAAGAGACAAAGTATTTGCTTTGCTTGTGGTTGTCTGATCCCCAGCACCACCTGTTTCTCCTGGGCACCACCGCCACCCCCAAAGAAACTTGAAGATGGTCTGCATTTATTTTTGTAATTTAATTTCAGTGTAATATTTGCAAGTGATGAAATGACTATTCCTTGGATTATTCTTTAAGTCCCTGTTGTGTCTTGAACAGATCATGCTTATCTGTTTCTTTGCGTGCCTATTTCCACTCTGGAGAGGCCTGTATCTCTTCTTGAACACACACACATCTTTCTCCCCTCACTCACATCTTTCTAAATAAGTTTCAATTAAAGCTAGTTTTCTTTTTAATTATTTATTTATTTGGCTTTTTGGGTCGCACCCAGCAATGCTCAAGGGTTACTCCTGGCTCTGCATTAAAGACTGACTCCTGGTGGTGCTTGGGGGGGGACCACATGGGATATCGGGGATCGAACCTGGGTTGGACGCGTGCAAGGCAAATGCCCTTCCTGCTGTACCATCACTCCGGATCCTTAAAACTCATTTTTCACCAAGGAAAAAAATGACTATCTCATGTCAATCATTTTGACTTGTTCTCTATTTTGTTGTTTGTTTAAGGCTACAATTGTGATGCTGCCCAGGAATTTTCCTTTCCCTGGCTCTCTGCTCAACCCTTGGCAGTGCTCTGGGGTTCGTATGTGGTGGTGCATTACCCACTGGACTACCTCCAGTCTTGGTTTTTAAATTTCATTTATGATATTGGTTTTGGGTCTACATTCAGCCGTACTCAGGGATCTAACTGGGTTCTCCTGCATGCAGGTCAAGTGCTGTCCCTTTTGCCTTTCACATGTATTTTTTAAAGGAGACAAACCTTGTGTGATAGTTTTACATAGCCACGTTTTGAATTCTTTTCTAGCAAATAGAGAAACAAGGCTAGCTTTTGTTTCGTGTTTCAGTTCATGCTGCTTGGTTTTTCAGTTTGTTACCATCTGTCCTTTTATCAGAGATGCTAAATGATAACATTCTAATAATCTAATAGTGTACAAAGAATTGAGACTTGGAGAGAAACATAACTAATGTAACAGATTAAATGTCTTATGAAAGCCAGAATCGATTTATTTGTGGTGCTTAGGGTTTAGTCCTGGCTCTGGTTTTAGGGATTACTCCTGGTGGTGGCAGGGGTCTACTCAGGGTTGGTTGGGTGCAAGGCAAGCCCCTAAATCCTGACCTATTGCTCCAGCCTTGTAAAATTTTTTGTTTTTTCAAGCACTGTGGCTTAGTCTAGTACTGCACCCTCCACCTGTAACAGTTATATGAGGTCCTGTATTTGTAGAATGCTTTAAGATTTTCAGAGGACATTTTCTTGTTTTATGGCTTTTTATTTTCCATAATGAAATTAAGCATGTATTATCTTTGGTGAGATGGGAGATTTGCAGAGATTGCTCAAGTAATCGGTATTAGACTTTTACTGTTCTTTCCTGTATCACTTGGTTAGTCATCGATTTTTATCCCCCCCCCTTTTTTTGTGGCTTTTTGGGTCACACCTGGCAATGCTCAGGGGTTACTCTCCTCGCTCTGCACTCATGAATCACTCCTGGCAATGTTATTTGCTTTTTGGATCACACCCAGCAATGCACGGGAGTTACTCTTGGCGTTGCTCAGGGGACCATATGGGATGCTGGGAATTGAACCTGGGTTGGCTGTGTGCAAGACAAATGCCCTACCCTCTGTGCTATTGCTCCACCATCCCCATCGGTGTTTTTAAAGTTTTTTTCTTTTTGGATTACTCCTGGCTCATGTACTCAGGAATTACTCCTGGTGGTGCTCAGGGGACCATATGGGACCCTGGGAATCCAACCTGGGTCAGTCCTGTGCAAGGCAAATGCCTTACCCGCTGTATTATTGCTCCAGCCCTGCCCCCATCGGTTTTTAATAACCAGGCATGTGCTTAATTTTTTTTTTCCTTAGTTAGCCAGAAACTAGTTCATGAAGTGGTGTACTTCTATTTTGTTTTGTTCATTTTGCTTTGGGGCCACATCCTGTGGTGTCCAGGACTTCTGGCGTTGCTCAGAGGACAATATGGTATGCTGAGGATGGAACCTGGGCCTGCCACTTGCAAGGCAAGTGCTCTACCTGTCCCTCCAGCCCTAAAGCAGTGCGTTTCTGAGTATTCTTTCCTTTTGAGAGGGGGGCTGCGGAGGACACTTTCTCTTGTTTCTTTTCTACTCTTAAGAATGCCAGCTAGTTTTTAACATTTAATAAAGATGGAATCTTTTGGTTCTAGAAAGAGAGCTCAGATGGCTGAAGGGTGTGCTCTGCCCTGCCTTCAGGGGTTCTGGGCTTAATCTCTGGTACCCTGTACTTCCAACTACAAACCAGTTATAGCCCCTGAGCACTGCTTGGATGTAGATAGGTAGTTCCTCCCATACTTCCCCCCCCCCCCCCCACTGTTATATTTGTTGTGGTAATAAACCCAGCAGTGATTTACTTCTTGTATGGGTCTGTCCTGTGTAAGGGAAAGAGGGGAAGCTTAGGGTCATTTTGTTTCACAAGAGACCCAGCTGTTGGAACAGATTCCATCATGTGAATTGCAGGTGCTGGTGCTCCAGTAGGAGGGAAAAGTGGCCAAGAACTGTTGCCTGTAACTCATTGTCTACAGTGATTCATGTGACCCTGACAGATTGCCCGAGAAGAGCAGAGAGTCCAGTAGTCTGCGATGTTTTGCAAATAGGACTGTCACTGCAGCTAGCTGCCTTTAATTCTCTTCTAAATAATGATAAAATGAAAATATTCCATTTCTTACAGGAAGAAAGAAACAAAAGCTTGCTAAGGAGAGAGCTGGACTTTCTAAGGTAATCTGTTTTTGTTTAGATTATATTACATATTTTATAGAACTTGTATTAAAATTAACTTCAAATGTGAATTTTGAGAAAATTAGTTTATATCAGATCTTGCTACTTTATAATTTGTTCAAGAATGATTAACTCATTGTACTCGGAGATTTATCTCGTCTTCCATTTTTCTCTTTGTTACATGAGCAGCAGGTCATTTACTGTATGAGCAGTAATTAAGGGGCGATAAAGGGTTGAATTTTCCTTTCTCCAACTTCCTTCCAAAGAACCACATTATCATAATTTCAGAAGCTGTAATGGTATTCACGTATACACCCACTGATCTGGAATCCCACCTTCCAACCTATAAACACCCTCCACCCCGCTCTGTAGAGGTTGTGATGGTGACCGTTCACACACTTGGATGTGGTGCTTGAGGGGAGTCCCAGTTAGTTGTGCTTTATACACAGTTGGCTGCAATCACAGATCACATACCTTCTGTGTGGTGCTGGGGATCGCGCACAGCAGTGCTGGGATTGCACGCTGCATGTGGGTTAGGTGCCAAGAATTGAGCCTATGGCCTCAGGCCTGCTCTGAGCCATCCCTGGGCCTGCTGGCACTTTTTTTTTGGTCGTTGTATTATATAAACTTAGATATAAATCTTTTTACTCATTTTTTTCTTTTTATAGATCCTGTGTTCATGATTATTTTTAATGACTGCATAGGTTTATCTGCTTGATTTAAAAATATTCTGTGACATGGTGTAAGTAAATAAGTAAGTAAATGTTACCATTGTGCATATAACTTTTTAATTGAAATGGTTTCATTATTTGGATTCCCAGGATTTCTGCTCCTGGAGCAAAAGTGGTTCTTTGTTATGGAAGTTGAGGCAAGGAAAAAAAATACAGAATAAATACAAAAATTAAACAAGTTACGTTATTTTGAAATAGTTGATGAGTAAAGCAACACACGCTTACTGGCAGGATGTATTACGATGAAGTTAAACTGGAAGGAGGCCCACGGTTTGGTCTCTTAGGTCCATATCTTTCTAAAACATTAGCAGTGTTTTTTATTTTTTCATAGCCTTTTCTTTCTTACGCTAAAAATAGAGGTGCGACAGTGTGTACTTTAAATCTATTATTACTGTTTTTGTTTTGGTCTATATCCAGTGGTGTTCAGAGAGCTAAGTAGGGTCAGCTGCATTGTAAGGCCAGGTGCCTTCATCCCTGTGCTATCTCTCTGCTCCCCCAGTGTGTATTTTTAGATTATGGTATGATAAAATTCTTGTCTTTACGGGGCAATAAATGAAAGATACCTCATTTTCAGAAATTTGCTCTTCTATGTTGGGTAATGAGTTAATAACCAAAAATGTTACATTAAAATAGGACTAAATTTTATTAGAAATTATAAAATAGGCTTATTTTATGTTTTAATTAAAAAAAAATACTGTTTTTTTGGCACCATACCTGGCAGTGCTCAGGGATTATTCCTGGCTCTGCACTGAGGAATTACTCCTGGTGGTGCAGGGTGCCATAGTGGATGCCAGATTTCAACCCAGTCATGCTCTACCCATTGTATCATCACTTGGGCCCAAGCACCTTATTTTATTTAAAAAAAAATTTTTTTTTAAATTTTTATTAGTGAAACACCATGAGGTACAGTTGTAGACTTACAAATTTTTGTACTTGGGTTTCAGTTATACAATGATCAAATACCCATCCCTCCACCAGTGCCCATTCACCACCACGGGTCCCAGTATCCCTCCCACCCCCTGTCCCCCCATCCCACCCTGCCTCTGTGGCAGGGCGTTCCCTTTTGTTCTCTCTCTCCTTTTGGGTGTTGTGCTCTGCAAAAGAGGCATTGGGTGGCAATCATGTTTGGCAAGCACCTTATTTTAAAATGTGTCTTATTTTTTGTTTGTGACTGTACCTGTTAGTACTATGCTCTGGGGACTCTGGAGTGCTAGAGCAAATGTGGGGACCAGACACACACACACACACACACACACACACACACACGCGCGCGCGCGCGCGCACACACACACACACACACACACCCCGCCACCACCACCCCTCACCCCCTGTGCATTTTGTTTCATGACCCTGAAATGCCATAAATCAAAATCTTCATCCACACACACACTTAAACTAAGCATTCAGTCACATCTATTGAATGTTTTGCCTAGCTTACTTGGTTACTTACTTGGCTTACTTGGTCATTGGGACACATCCAGCAGTGCTCAGGAATCCTGGCGCTTCTCAGGGGACTCTGTGTGTGTGTGTGTGTGTGTGTGTGTGTGTGTGTGTAATGATCATGATCATCCTGTTGTTCATCAACTTCCTCGAGCAGGCACCAGTAACGTCTCCTTCATCCTAGCCCTTGAGATTTTAGAAAGTGCATATTCAAGAATCTTTCAGGGTCAGGAAAATGAGACCCATTATTGTTACAGGTTTTTGGCATATTGAGTACGCCACGGGGAGTTTGCCAGACTTTGCCATGCAGGCAAGATGCTTGCGGTAGCCTGCCGGGCTCCAGAGTAAGAACTAGATAATACAATGTCGCGTGGCTGCATTTGAGGCCGCGTGCTTCCGGGAGTTAGGTTTTATAGTCTCTGGGTCTTGGCCCTTAATGGGATTGCCTGGCGCCGGGAGCAGTGGGTGGGTGTCACTCCTACGAACTGGAAGATGGGGGATATGGGTGAAGGAGGCCCAGTCCCGATCCAAGCAGGCTTGGAGATCTCAGTCCCGGAGATCATATATATATGATGCTAGGAACTGAACCCTGGTTGGCCACGTGCAAGACAAACACCCTCTCTGCTGTACTATCACTCTCGCTCCTTTGGCTTAACTTTGGAGGTGGAAAGGTCTCCCAAGCAGTGCTTAGGAGGCCCTGGTCTTTTTTCAGGGAACTTTTTGGCCTGCTTGGTCTGGAAGGTCAATGTGAGGGCTCAAAATATGGTGCTGCTTGGCTCTGGTGCCAGGGGATTACCCAGCACCTCCACCCCCCCATCCCCACCCCACCTCATCCCTCTTGGTGCTTGGACCTCCAGGCCATATCTGGTGATGCTCAGGACCCTTGTGTGTTTGAGACGGGATCAGTGTTACTACAAGACGTTTGCCTTAATGCCAGTACTATTTCTTTGGGCTCTGGCTTTTTTTTTTTTTCCTTTTTAAGAGCTGAGTTCTATATAGCTAGCTGGTAGCATTATATTTTACCATAGCCATTCATTCTGGTAATAGATGTGCCACCCAGCACTGCTCTTCCCAGTCTGGAGTAGCATAGCCTGGCCTTGGCACTGTGACCAGCGTGGTTGTCTAAGATCAGATTGGTCCCTGGCCCCTTCTGAGTACTAATTGAATGAGCCCTCCCCCCCAAAGCAAAAATGACTTGATCTTTGATTTTTTTTTTTTTTAGTGGGGGAGTTTGTGGCTACAAGTGGGTGCTCAGGACCCACTTACTCCTGACTTACTCAGGAATTACTCCTGGCAGGGCTCAGAGAACAATAAGAGATGCTGGGAATATTGAACCCAGATTTGCTACATGCAAGGCAAGCACCCTGCCCACTGTACTTTCTCCAGCCCCCAACTGATCTCTTTAGATAAATGAAAAATCTACACAAAATATTGGTTTGAGACTCAAATTAAATGGCAATAAAATTTGAAAAATAGTAAAATAATGTCTCGTATGCTTGACATATTTATACTCTTAACTGTTCTATTTTCAGTTTTTTGTTTATGGGTTTTTGTTACGTTCAGTTTTTGGGGGGATTTGAGAGCCACACCCGGTTGTGCTCAGGACTTTTTCTGGCTCTGTGCTCAGATATCACCGTAAGTGGTGCCAGTGTTCATACTCTGGTTGGCTGCATGCAAGGCAAGTGCCCTCCCTACCCGCTGTACTTTCTACCAGCCCCTGCCTCATATTTTTAAGAACTGCTCAAATAATGCTTTTATTTGCAAGTATATTTTCCCTTGAACTTATTTAAATGTGAATATTGAACTAAATCTTGTGCATGTTCTTAAAGAATCTGTTTTTAAGAAAGAGCTATTCAGCTTTATTTATTTATTTTGTTTTGCTTGCTTAGAGGCATCATTGCTTATATTCTCATAATTTTGGCACCAATTCTCTAATGTTCTTTTTCCAGTTACCTGACCTTAAAGATGCTGAGGCTGTTCAAAAATTCTTCCTTGAAGAAATACAGCTTGGTGAAGAGTTACTAGCACAAGGTAATAATCTTTGCAGGACAAGGAAAACTATAGTATTCTTCACACTAATGCATGTGTTTTTTTTTTTATAAGAGGTATTCTAAATATTTCAAGAGAAGTTTTCATATAATACAAAAATTCTTTTTCTCCAATAATTTCTAAGGAGTATATCATTTTTTCATATTTTATTTTGAATCAGTTTATGGTCTGTTGATTTGGAGAGAAAATAAAATTGGGTTACTTTGGGCTAATTTAGAGTACTTTTCTGCTGACACATGACCTCGTTTATAGATGTGTAAAATAGGAAACCTTAGGGGATTTATTCATCTATTCATTGTTTTTAGGACCATGCTCAGTGGTGCTCAGGGCTTCTCCTGAGTCTGCGCTGAGCGATCACCCTGGGCAGTGCTTGGGGGTCTCACGGGGTGCTGGGGGTGTTTGTGCCCTGGTCAGCCACGTTTGAGGCAGACACCTTTCCCGCTATATTATGGCTCCAGCCTAATCATTAAGAAATTTAAACAATTTTTTTTGGTTGGGAGGTGGCAATAACCTGTGATGCTTGAAGGCTACTTCTAGTTTTCTGTTCACTGGGGGGTCTACAGCAAATTTTTCAACTGTTGGGCAACTCCTATGGGGGTCCTGGTTTCAGGAGCTAGGGTTTGGGAGATTAAACTTTTTGTTTTAGTTTTCGGGTCACACCTGAATGTGCTCAGAGATCAATCCTGGTGGGGCTTACGGACCTATATAAGGTACCGGGGATTGAACCCCAGGTTTGCTTTGCGCAAAGGCAAGTGCCCTACCCGCTATACTATTTCTCCAGTGCCCAAGGAGTATTAGACTTTCTTGACACTTTCTGGGGTGGTGAGTTGGGGATACCACACCTGGCAGTGCTCAGGGGAGCATTTGAAATGCCAGGGGTGGGCCACTTGCAAGGCAAACACCGTACATTCCATCCTATTACAGTGGTCCTGTTTTCTCAACGTCCGGCTGTCTTGGTGTTTATAGGAAGAAATGGCTTATAGTCACTATGATTTCTCTTTACTTGACCATGGTCATATACCTGGTTCAGAGTTAGTGGTTTAATCTGATCTAGAATTCAGCTTTATGCTCAAGGTTTCTTGTTCTGTTTTGTTTTGTTTTTGGGTTACTCCTGGCGATGCTCAGGGGACCATGTGGGATGCTGGGATTTGAACCCGGGTCAGCGTACAAGGCAGACACCCTACCCACTGTGCTCCAGCCCCAAGGTTTCTTGTTTTTATTTTGCTGTGAGAGGGCTCCCAAATGCCGAGCATGCACTCCAACCTTTGAGCTCTCCAGCCATTAAGAGTTCTTTGTGGGAAAGGGTGGCCACTGGGCTCTCTGCTGTATGTAGTGCTCAGGGGGTATTATTGATTCTGTGCTTGGGAGTAACCCTCACAGTCCTGCAGGACCCATATGAGGCGCAGGGGATTGAACAGGATCAACTGCATGCAAGACAAGCATTTTACCTCCTGTGCTGTCTCATTTGATTTTATATTCAAAGTAAAAGGGTCCCATTGGGCTGAGGACATAGCTGAAAGGGATGGAATATATGTTTCACATAGCATAGGTCCTGGTCTGATCCCTAGCACCACATGGTTCCCTGAACCTTGATAGATACTGAGCACTGCAGAGTTGGTCTCTTTGAAAAAAAGAGAAGAAAAAAAAAGCATTGCTGGGGCAGGTTTAACTCTGGGGTTTGTGTTTGTTAAAATGGTCATGGGGCTGGAGCAATAGTATAGCGCGTAGGGCATTTGCCTTGCACGCAGCCAACCCAGATTCGATTCCCAGTTTCCCATATGTTCCCCTGCGTCAGAAGTAATACTGAGTGCAGAGCCAGGAGTAGTCCCTGTGCATCTCCGGGTGTGATCCAAAAAGCAAAAAAAAAAATAATGTAAATGGTCGCATCATGGCTGGAAGGTAGTTGGCCTTGCATGCGGCTACAGTGGCCAACACCCTAGTTTGGTGTGACCCCAAAACAGCAAAAATAGGGGGATGGATTTGCAGGTAAAGTTTTACTGAAGGATCCTAATGATAGGGAGAAGGTAGGGGGAGAGAAATAATTTGAAGTCTGAATTATTTTATATCAAATTAGCATTTATCTCAAAACAGCTTTGAAGAATCATTAACAGTGATTTCTAGGACAAAGCTTAATTTCTTTAACACCTAATTTTCATTGCAATCATTACAGAGTTAGACAATGTTGTACTCCATGATTTAGAGCATTTGGGTTTTTGTTTCCTTTGGATGAAAATTTTTTTCTTCTTTAAGATTTAGATGATTGCTACCATCTTTATCATGTCTCCCCTTTTCCAAGAAATGTTTTTGAAGACGTAATTGTTACTTTGATGGTAAATTAAACTTATTCATTAATAAAAATAGGGGCTGGAGTGATTGTCCAGCGGGGTGGGTATTTACCTTGCCTGTGGTCGACCCAGGTTCGATCCCCAACATCCCATATGGTCCCCTGAGCACAGAAGTGACCCCTGAGAATTGCCGGGTGTGACACCCCCCCCCAAAAAAAAAACAAGAATTTTCTTACTAGTACAATTATGTGGCTTTTCCTCCATGCAAATGAGGAAAGTGGGGGACTGGAACAATAATACAGTGGGTAGGGTGCTTGCCTGGCATGTGGCAGCAAACAGGATTTATCTCAGGTACCACATAGGTCCCCATAAGCCCTGCCAGGAAATGATTCCTCAGGGCAGAGTCAAGAGTAAATCCTGAGCACTGCAGGGTGTGGCCCCAAACAAACAAGAAACATAAATGAAGAAAATGGGAGGTTTAATTATAGTGATGAAGTTCTTAAATTCTTACACAGGTCATTATGTTATTTTTATAACTTTGGATTTTTGGGGGGAGGGAGGGCAAAGTTATTAAAGTAGCATAACATCCTGTTTATGCAGTATTGCCATCACTCTTCAATTTAAGGATGGTTATGCATCGTAGGGGGGTGGGGGATTGTGAGTAGGAGAGTTTAAGAACAGGGAAGGCGTTTCCCCTAGCATAACACGTTCTACGGGGCATCCCAGCATGCTCAGGGTTATTCAACTCAGCTGTCATGTTGCCTTCTGGTTAGAATTAGGGGAAAGGTCAACATCAGAATAAGTCAAGCAGAAGCCTCGCCAATTTGGGCGGTTAATCTAGAGGTCTTATGAAAGCATATTCCTTCTGTGCACCCCCAGGCTATTCCAAGAGGGATATATCCCAAGAGGCAAAATTCACATAGGTGGAGGGTATACAGTGAGACAGGGCGCAACAGAGGAAATGAGGTCAGAGGTAGGCCACAGTCAGAAGAGGGTTTATACTCTTGATCTCGGGATATATGGGTGATTCTAAGTCTGCAGGTGCAGAGAGGAAATAATTGTGCCTGTACTGAATTGCTATGGTTGTTCATTAATGGCTGTTTTCTAGTGTTTAGAATTAGGCAGTGTCTTAGAACACCTGTATGTATATGTCTGCATTAGCAGAATTAGTATCTCTAGGCACCCATGCAAATTACCTAGAGTTCAGTGAAGAACAACGTTTTGATTTCCAGGTCACTGGAGCGAATGTGGAACTTTTTGATAGAGTCCCAACTCTTGCGGAAGAAAAAAAGTCACTGGGAAGGAGGGCGGAGAGCAGGTGTTTGGGTCACTCACTCTCTTGGTGTAGTGATCAGGAGAATGGTGGTTTCTGTGAGCTGCATCTCTAGCCTAGTAGTCATAAGTTTTCCCTTTAGTTTGAATAGTTTAATCTTCAAATTTCCTCAGGTAAAAACTCTTATAGGAGTCAATTCTCAGTGTATACTAGTTCGCCTTTAATTTTGTTGTTCTGTTTTGTTTTTAATTTTGTGTTAATTTTGTGTTTGTTTGGCTTTTGGAACACACCAGACTGTACCTGGGATCTGTTCCCAGCTTGGGCCCCCACAGGCACTCCAGCCCTTTGAGTCCTCTCTCTCCAGTTCCTGGTCATATTCTTATGTTGTCTTTGTTGTTTCAGCAACTGTGATGCTCGGGGCTTATTCCTGGCTCTGTACTCAGGAATCATTACTCCTGGTGGGTCTCAAGGAACCATGTGGGATGCTGGGGACTAAACCCAGGCCGGCCACATACAAAGCAAACACCCTACCTAATGAACTGTCACTCTAGCCTGGTCCCGTTCTTCTTAATCAGGATTCTTCATGTGAACTTTAGATTTACTGGTTTATTATAAACTTACTGCAACTTCCATCATTACTAGCCAGCTGGAAAAGCTGAATAGGGGAAAGTATAGTGAAGTGTGAGGGATTTTTTCATGCCTTTTGGGCGTGCCAGCTCCACAATTCATAGGATGTAATGGGTTCACCAGCCCAGAAGGCTAGTCTGTTATTTCCCAGGGAGATAATTCAAAGGGCTGGAGCGTATGCAAATTCCCGAATTTGGTTTTCATCAGCTCTGCCAACTGTGCCTGTGCTGGCCTGGAGTCCACATCTCTGGTGTGGTGTTGAACCAGAACTTGTACTACTGAGACAAGTAGTAGAGGTAATGATTCCTGGACCTCAAGCACCACTGGCCTTACCCAACACCCAGTTAATTTCATTACATGCTTAGAAATCCATTAATGATGCTGTCACCTCCAAGGAGCTAAAGATGAGTAGTAGACTGCAGTTAAGGTTGTGTTAGTAAGTGAATGTGTCCTGAGTCTAGGAAATGATTAGGCAATGCTGGATCTACAAAAAAGATGTGCTGATTGGATTCAGAAGAGATTTCAGGCCTTCATGGAGTCATTTATAAGCAGCGTGATTCATTTAACAATCATTGTGTCTAGAAACTCAGAAACTGGCTGAATAGATCAATACATTGACATAAATCAGATTGAAGACCCTGGAAAGAATGTTAGGAATAAGACACAATGCCATGCTTATCAGCAGCTTGTGGAATAAATGGCTGAGACACACCCTCCCTGCCTCCCAAAGCATACTTAGTGCATGTCTTCAGACTTGCTGGAGTTCTAGAATATTGACACTTGAATCGTACAAGGGGTAAAAAGGAAATGAATAGAGAAGGTCTGAAGTCATTTTCTACCATCATTAGTTGCTTTTGTAAAGACTCAGAATGCATTCTGTTTTTCCATTTGCTTTTGCAGCATCCTTGATTTGCTTTATGGTATGACTTCCCATAAAGAGAGGGAGCACGTTTGATGCTTTTTAAGCAGAGATTCTGCAGTGGTCCTGGGTTTCATAGCTTGAGAGGTTTAGGACAGGAGAGAGATTGCTTAATAGTCAGAGCACATCCTTTGTGTGCAAGAGGCCACCATCTTCAGTCTGCCATCACCACCTAGTATTGCTCAAACAGACCCAGCAATTCCTAAACTTTTGGGTCCTGGTATAAATTAAGAACATTATTAGTTCCTAACTCAGAATCAGCATGATAGTAAAAATCATATCAATCGAACCAGAGCGATAGTGCAGTGGGTTGGCTGTTTGCCTTGCATGCAGCCGACCCGGGTATGGTCCCTGGCATCCCATGTGGTCTCCTGAGCACCTCCAGGAGGAACCCCTGAGCATTGCTGGGTGTGACCCAAAAAAGCAAACAAAAATTCGACCAGTCATGAAGAACAAGTGCTTTTCCAGTTGTGCTATATTGTTAGGTCCTTTAAAGGGTTGCCCTGGGGTCAGAGAAATAGTACAGCAGGTGCTGCCTGACCCAGGGTGGGTTCCCTGAGCACAGGTATGGCCCCTGAAACAGAAGGATTGCTTACACAGAAAAGTATTACACAAAAGGATAGTTAATAAGCACAGAGTTCTTTGAGGGTAGCTGTAGCAGTAGTACCGTGGGTGGGGTGCTTGCCTTGCATGCAGCTGACCAGGGTTCAATCCCCAGCACCCCGTATGGTCTCCCCAAGCCCACCAAGAGTGATTACTGAGTGCAGAGCCAGGAGTTACTCCTGAGTACCACCTGATGTGGCCCCAAAACAAATAAACTGACATGTCCAGAAAAGTTCTTTGAGGTTCTCGGAACAGAGTTCTAGAGTTAAAAATGAGATTAACTGTGAACAGGTACCACATAGCTAATAAATAAAACCTTCAAAAATTATAAGTCTTAAAGTATCTATTAAGTATATATAATATGACTCATTCTCAATGTCTTTATAATTGGTCATATGGATGTACTACAGCTTTTGAGATTGAGGTTTTTCTTGTAAATCTTTCAGGTGAATACGAGAAGGGTGTAGACCACCTGACCAATGCCATTGCTGTGTGTGGGCAGCCACAGCAGTTGCTGCAAGTGCTACAGCAAACTCTTCCACCACCAGTGTTCCAGATGCTTCTGACTAAGCTTCCAACAATTAGTCAGGTAAGTATATGGAAGGTAACAAGTAAAGATGCGTGGAATCTGAGAGAAGTTGGGGCTGGAGCAATAGCACAGCAGGTAGGGCATTAGCCTCGCATACGGCTGACCCGGGTGTGATTCCCAGCATCCCGTATGGTCCCCTGAGCACCGCCAGGAGTGATTCCTGAGTACAGAGCCAGGAGTAACCCCTGAGCATTGCCTAATGTGAACCAAAAAGCGAAGGAAACGGAAAGAAATCTGAGAGAAGTTTAGGGACATTTGTATTTAAAATGAGTCTTGTAAACATGATAAAGTCGTGAGAGACCCAGAAGATAAACACAATGCTTATAATTTGAACATCCAAATTAAGAGGCATCTAGGTTTCCTGATAGAACCCTGAGCAAAGATTGGAGTGCTTATTAGGCGTATCAGGGAATCTGTTAACTTATTAATGTGTTAATATGTTATTAATTCAATACTTTATTGATGGTTATTTAATGGTTAGTTTATTATTAGTTTAATGATGAATGAATAACTACTGAATGTGAACTTGTCCTGTTGGGCCACGTATTGGAGGGAGTGACCCCTGGGCTCTAGTTACTACTAGCCTACCCCCATGCCCATCCGTATGTCTTTGTGTAATGACCAGGCTGAGGAGAATGGAGCATGGGTTTATTATCCGTAAAACACAGAAAGTATATTAGCGTACATGTGGGGGTGATGAGGTCATAAATTTTTACTGACTACCATACAGCAGTGTTATGCTTCCTAGAATTAGAAGTGGAAGTACAGTCATATGGGTAGAATGTGGAACAAATTTTATGTTGAATTTGGACTCCTGATTACATGCCTTTGGTAATCAGTTTTTCTAATTTCTTTTTTATTTTCCCAGAGAATTGTCAGTGCTCAGAGCTTGGCTGAAGATGATGTGGAATGAGAAGCAAATGTCAACTTAATAATCTCAATTAAAAAATGTTTTAAACTTTTAACTCGGAAGATGAACAGCTCTGGGGGAATAAGGGCAGATATGCTTGTTGTGGACTGTCATACACTGAAATCTACCAAAGTCCAGTTTTACTTTGTGTAGATCCATTTGTCTTATTTATTTTTCCCAGTGAAAAGTGTATTTTGATAGAGAGCTTTTCATTTTATAAATACACTATGAGTTACTGAAATACCATTGATTTTTGTTTATTCCTAAAATGCGTGATTAAGGTGAGCATACAGTCTCACATAATTTGCATTAAAAATAATCTGTGTTCATCAAATTTTGAAAAATAGGAAAGCATAGGAGAGGAAAAAGCTGAAGAATGCGCATTTTTCAAGCTAAATACTTCCTGCTGTGTATCCAAAAATGAGTGGAAACTTGGTAGATGTCAGAGCTCAGCAGTGAAATCTGTGAGGCCAATTTTTACATCCGATATCTGAAATAATGTGAGGTGCGCTGCTATGCTGCTCATAACTCCCATCCTGTGTTTTTCTTAAATCAGTGGATTTAAAGGTGTTCTGGGTTTTAGAAGAATATGTGTAGTTATAGGTAGCACTGTAATTAGATTTATGTACCTTTCTGATCTAGCCATTTGAACTTTGCTAGTGACTCTGTCCAGTTAACTTTTCTCGTTTATAAAATGAGACTGGTCTGCTGATGCAGAGAATTGTTTTTCTCAGCTTCTACTTCTAATTTGCTAACTTGGTTCTGTCGGCATCTTCAAATCCAACTTTACCCTCGGGTGGGTATACTTGGGCAATTAGACCTTGCCAGGGGAGGGCCCAAACCCCATGCCCAAAAAAGGCGCAGGTGACACTAATTTTCACTGAAATCATAAGGTTCTTCACTTCTCTTGTAAATTAATTTTGTCTTTAAGTTAACTGGGATGATAATGCTTGTAATTTTTTTCTTTGCATTTATATTCAGTGTGTCTCCTAATCTTTTTCCTGTCTGGTTCGTTTATCTTGTTGGTGGGAACAAGGTGTAATCTTGGAGCTGAATACTTGTAGAGAATGGAGCTGATAGGACCTCTGATTTTCAAAATGCCATTCAGCGTCAGATCTGAGAATAAAGACCCTCAGTGTATCTGTGAATTGAGCAGCTTTTCTCATTGCGCAGATTTCTCTTTTTAAAATTTAAAATCGTTAAAACACTAAACTTTGGAAGACCCTAGAATTTTTAAATTTTATGATTTTTTCTTGAACATTGGGTTTTGTGTTGGCTGTCATTTAGTGAAGAGTATGGAGTATGGTCATTTTTTGGGCCACAGCCTTTGGAAAGTCGGATTAAACCTTTGAGCTTACTTCCATCTTTACTTCCATCTTTAAAACTAGACCAGGCAACTCATATTTAAAGACTTCTCAGAAACCTTCCAGGCTTATGACATTGAGTAAGTGGTTGGTTTCGTTCACTTTTGTTTAATTTTGAGATGCCCATGTGGGCTGACCAGTGGAAACACACATGCTGTTAAATTTGTCCAATAAGGAGCCCTAATCAAGGCACTGTCATCAAATTAACATCTGGTTGATGAACCTCTGTCCTGAACTGCTCAGCAAGAGGATGGGCCCAACTAAAGGCTGGGTGAGAGTTGATGTCGTCGTCTTCTTATTTTTTTTTTCTTTTTGGGTCACACCCGGCGATGCACAGGGGGTTACTCCTGTCTCTGCACTCAGGAATTACTCCTGGCGGTACTCAGGGGACCATATGGGATGCTGGAGATCGAACCCAGGTCGGCCACGTGCAAGGCAAACCCCTACCCACTGTGCTATCATTCCAGCCCCTTGATGTCATTTTAGACATGGGGAAGTTACAGGAATTTAGTAGAGCCCTGCTATATATCCCTTGGCTTCCTGGACAGTGGTCTGCTCTGATAGCTATGCTGGGTGGAGGGGCAGGGAGTGAGACCTTCACTTGAGAGCTGTTTGAACCACATACGTTTTCTTCAATTGCAGGTTTAGATGCTTTAAATTAATACTGTTTTGAAAGTCAGCTATGTTATGTTTGAACATACCAAAACTCCCCAACACAGTTGATCCTTTCCTGAAGAATGTTGTTGGTTGCTGGCCCCAACCAAGAGTTAGAGCAGCTTGGATTTACCTGCCAGTTAGACGATACTGCAGTGGGCACACTTTTGACAAACACTTGGGAATAAGCGTGTGTGTTTTACATACATGATAACATGATTCTTTGGGCAAAGATCTGTTCTTAGTTTCACTTCTGTGTTTTGTGGGGGTTTTTTTGGGGGGGGTCTCACCCAGCGATGCTCAGGGGTTACTCCTGGCAGTGCTTGGGGGACCATATGGGATGCCAGGAATCAAACCCAGGTTGGCAGTGTGCAAAGTAAATGCCCTATCCACTGCACTATCGCTCTGGACCTTCCTATGCCTTATGTTAAATTGTAACGTTTATTAGATCTCTTTGGATGAATTAAGTATATCCCCCTTCTCCCCCCATTTTAAGGGGTATTTGGGGGCCAGAGAATACACCTTGGTTTGATCCCCAGTATCCCATATGGTCCCCCACAAGTAACTCCTGAGCATTAACAGGTGGGCCCCAAAACCAAAAAGGATATTCTAGAACATTACATAAATTTTTCTTTGCCTCTAGGTTAGGCTGGAGCGGTACAGCAGAGCCGGTAGGGCGTTTCCCTTGCCCGAGGCCAGCCCTCTCAGAGAGTCCCGCAAGCTACCGAGAGTATCTCACCCACACAGCAAAGCCTGGCAAGCTACCCATGACATATTTGATATGCCAAAAAAAAAAAATAGCAACAAGTCTCACAATTTATTGTGAGATCTTACTGGTGCCTGCTCAAGCAAAATCGATTAATAACAGGAGGACAATGCTACCTCTCTAGATTACTGTGCTTTTTTTTTTTTTTTTTTTTTGGTGGGGGTGGTGTTTTCCATCAATGCTCAGGGGTTATTCTTGCCTCTGCTCTCAGGGATCACTGCTGGCAGTGCTCAGGGAAAAATTTGTCCTGGGTGAGTGGTGTGCAAGGCATGGACTTGACCCCCTGTACTATCACTCTGGCCCAGCTCCACTGCATTCTGGAAATAAGTACAGTAAAGGTACTAAGGCCTCGTTTTGGTAAGGGGCTCAAATGCTTGAGCCCTGGGCTGGAGAGATAGTGCAGTGGGTAAGATGCTTCCTGGTACATGGCTGAGCTGGGTTCAGTCCCCTGCATCCCATAGGGTCTCTTGAGCTCCGCCAGGAGTAACCTCTTCCATTGCCAGGTGTGACTCAAAAACAAAAAGACTCAAATGCTTGAGCACTTGCGGCTGTCTGTGTGTGAATTGAAGGCAGAGTGAAGTGGTACTCCAGCCTGGAGCTTGGTGATCAGGAGTTCAGTGTGTCCTGGCCGTGCCAGCATGGATCAGAGAGAACATCCGGATCCCACTGGAATCCTAGGACTTGCCTGCATCGAAGTGGACTGAACTGAGCTGGTCTTTTGTTTCCTGAAGAGTGAGCATCTTTGGAGGTTTTTAAAAAAAGAAAAAAAAGTTAGGACCTGACTCGGTTTACCAGAGTAACAAGCCTAGTTCTTGGAGGTGAGCATGTTTTCTTCAGTGATACAGGCATTTGCTCATCCAGCTCACTTGAAGAACACAACTTTGTGATGCCAGCAACGACTGATTCTTTAACTCTTCTGTGGTGGTTTTCAAGCTCCCATTGCATTGCCTATTAATTGGGACTCATTAATACCTACTGATTGTCTCTACTAGGACTGCTCACTAGTATTCATTTAATTACAGTTTCCTATTAAGTAGGGCTCTAGTAGAAAGTAGAAACTCAATTTCAGAGAAATAGTAATTTTTGTTTTGCGGGGCACTAAGGGGTAGTACCATATGTGATACCGGGAATTGAACCAGGGTAAAATCGTGTAAAAAGGCCTTAAACTCTGAACTACCTCACCATCTTGAGAAATAATGACTTTTTTCTCTGTCTATCACTCAAGATAGACCTCCCCTATCTTCGCTTCTTTTAGTGTTTTTTTTTCTTTTTGGGTCACACCCAGCAATGCAGGGCTTACTCCTGGCAGTGTTCGGGGGACTATATGGGGATGCTGGGAATTGAACCCAGGTCAGCCATGTGCAAGGCAAACGCCCTACCCACTGCTCTCTCTCCAGCCCCTAGTTTCATTTTTTATTTTATGTTTTTGGTTTGTTTTGCAGTGCTCAGGGTTTATTCCTGATTGCACAGGAATTACTCTTGGCTGGAGTTGGAATCTTTTGGAGTGCCAGGGATCATAGCCAGGTACAGGGCAATTACCTAATCCACTGTCCTATCTCTTCCTGCTGTTTCATTTTTGCAAACAGCTCAGACCCATTGCGCTGGCGCGTTTGCCTTGCGGCGACCCGGGTTTGATTCCTCCATCCCTCTCTGAGAGCCTGGCAAGGTACTGAGAGTATCCCGCCCACGTGGCAGAGCCTGGCAAGCTACCTGTGGTGTATTCAATATGCCAAAATCAGTAACAAGTCACAATGGAGACGTTAACTGGTGCCCGCTGGAGCAAATCAATAAACAATGCGAGGACCATGCTATTGAGCTCTCTGTAAGGTGTTCTTGAATCCTTAGCATCCTCTAGGTTAATTTTCCCCCTTTTCCCTGCTTAAAGAATCTGTGTAATGTTTCATGACTAATGGAGAGCACAGAATTTTTTACCTCCAGCCTCACTAAGATACGATTTACATGCAGATACTGTATGTATCGAGTCAGGGAGATGCCTAAAGGGCTGGAGCACATGCTCCAGACTTGATCCCAGGCACTACCTGGTCCCCTGGGCACGGCTGAGTATGACCACACACAGTATAAATATGTATTTATGATAAGTGAGTGATTGGGGGCCATACCTAGCCTTGCTCGGGGGCTACTACTGGTCCTGCACTCAGGAATCACTGCTCTAGGGACCATAGAGCATGCTGGGGATCAAGACCATGTCTGCCACATGCAAGGCAAGCAGCCTATTCGCTGTACTATCTCTCTGGCCCAATAAGTGGTTTTTTTTATGTCAATATACATTATAAATACTGACAGTGTACATTATAATTACTATAAATTGTACATCACCTTATTTAGTATGTGTGGTGAGAATCTATAAAATCCACCTGTATAATATATGAACTCTACTAACCATTCCGTTTACTTCTTAAGAACTTTATCAAGGAGTTCTGGGAATTTTGTGGGGCAAAATAGCAGTGGTGGGACTTGCAACTTGCTCTGTGCTCAGGGGATCTTATGTAGTGCTGGGGATGAAACCAGGTTCAGCTGAGCAATTAAGTGCTTTTCCCTGTTCTATCCGGCCTTTGGGTTTTTCTTTTGATTTGGAGGGAGAGATAGTACAACAGAGAGGGTGCATGCCTTGCACGTGGCCAACCCATGTTTGATCCCAGGCATCCCATATGGTCCCCTGCATACAGCCAGGAGTCATCTCTGAGTACAGAGCCAGGAGTAAACCCCCAAGTATCACTGCAAGTGATCCCAAAACAAAACCAAAAAAGATGAATGCTGCAGTAAACATGAGAATAATAGCAGGGGAGGGTCCTTTGTGGCTTTGGACTATTCTGGATGACACTTGGGGCTGCTTCTGGCAGCGCTCGAGATGCCAGGGATTGGACCTGGACCTGTCCCATTCTAGGTATGGGCGCAGCCCTTTGAGTTCTCTCTCTGAACATAAGTTCTCTGAGACTGTGATTGCATTCTCCTTTGAATATATGCCCCAAAGTGAGTCAGCAGTGTCATAGTATTTGGGGGCCACACCTGGTAATGTTCAGAGGCTTTTAGCTCTGTGCTCAGGGATGACTCCTGGAGGTTCAGGGACTGAACCAAGGTTAACTGGGTGCAAGGCAAGTGACTTACCCTTATGTATCATCTCTTTGGCCCCAGTATAGGTTTTATTTATTTTTTTTTAAAGCCATTATTTATTGACTGACCGGATTACAAAAATATCATCAATTCAGTTCTTCAGTTAAATCTGCTTTTCTCAATCAGGTCTTCCCTGTTGCCATCCCTAGCATCTCCAGCTCCACTTAAGGCGAAACAGGTGATCTTTTCCCTCACTTGGCCTCATGGAGAAGATAATTTTTTT